ATGTGTGGGGGAGGGGGGACCTTGCACGCGCGCGCTCTCCGCGCGGCCCCCCGCCTCGCGCGCGCGGCGCGGCGGGGGCGGTCACGCGCGCCCCCTGTCGGCGGCGGCGCTTTAACGCAGCGCCCGCCTCGTTTGTGCTCCCGCAGGCGGCGGCGCGCGGGCGCGGGCCCTCCCCAAGGTCGTGGACACGGGAGGGGGATTCTTCCTGGAGGAGGAGGAGAGTGAGCAGAAGGAAGAGCGCGGCGCCGGCGAGAAGATCGTGCACCCACCCGGTAATTAAGGAAAAAGCCTATAGGGAGCGGCGGGGCTTTGGCGGGGAGGCGGCGGGAGGAGGCGGCGCCGCGTGCGCGGGGTTGGCGGGGGAGGGCAGGAAGGCGCGGGGGCGACAGTGAGCCGGCTCCGGCCGCGCCAGCGGGGCGGGATGGATGGGCGCCTTTTTTTTTTTCCCGGGCTTTTTTTACTCTCCTTTCTTACCCTCTTTTTCATTCTCTTTTTTTTTTTTTTTTTTTTTTTTTTTTTTTTTTTTTTTTTTTTTTTTTTGACATCCCTTTTCCTCCTTCTCACGTTTTTCTGGATGTGCTCGATTAGTGGCGCGTCCGATTCTTTTCAGCATTAAATCGGCTATAGCAAATGCGCGGTAATTAAAAATGAAGAATTTTAAGCCGCGGAAGTGGGACACAGCCAGTGCCCTTGGGTATAGCACGTTTTAATTTTTTTTTTTCCCCCATAAGCGTTATTTCTATCATTTCTTTTGGGGAATTCGAATTTTAAGACCGACATGAGAGTAAATTTGCGCGGCTTCGTCGGTTGTGGGAATTTTGGGATTGATGTGGTTCGTGCCAAAACCGGAGCGCTGCTGCAGTGCCAGCTTTTATCGTTATAAAACGTGCTGGCGCCAAGTTACTGATCGTTCGGTGGAGGATTTCAGCACATTGCCTTGCRATATTCTCCCTCCCAAAAAAAGCAAATGGAGAAGTAAGGGTCCCAAAATAGATCGACTTTCTTCTCTGGGATTGTCTTTGTCTTGCTTTGTTCTGCTTGATTCAGCTGCGGGGCTGTTGGTGCAGTGTATCTCTTTGTTAGAAATCAGCACCAGATTTCATTAACAGTGCAAACAATTAGCAGCCCTGCTTCTTTTGATGGGCTAATGTTTAACAATAAATTAAAGTAGATCTGGGATGCCTTTACACTGGGCGTATTTTTTGCTGTGTAATTCATAACGTCATTGTCTTAATAAAATGTCTTCGTGTTCGGGAGCGCTGCCTTAAATGATGGAATGTGATGTAAGAGTATGAAATGACTGTGAAGTACTGAGCATCCGGCTGTCGCTAGTAGGACTGAATTTACATAAAATGTCGTCTTTGCTGGATCGGATCTGCTATAAATGCAATTGCAATTAAAATGTATGGTGCTGCATGTCAACCGTTAATCTTCTGCTTCAGGTGTTCTTAAAATTCCACAGCATTGCCTCACTTTTGGATCTCAAAACTGTATAGARATGTTAATTTTCAGCTGGAATTTCAATGTTAATGTTTAAAGAACGTTCCTTATAGCTGTTCCCTGAATCGGTGTTTCTTGGTGTCCTATGGAACATAAAAGCAGATGGTGATGACGCTGGAGGTGATCCGCCCGTTGAGGATGCGGCCAGAAGCAGTGGCTGGCGCTGAGATGAGTCTGGGCTTGGAGCAGTGCTGAGAGGGCTTGGGGAGAGGATTGTAGTGGAGCTCCATCCCCATTCCACTCCTAGCAGCTCTCTGGCCATCCACCTCCGTTTCTGCCAGCTGGAACGGACAAGAACCTTGCCAACTGCCCCAGGCCTCCATGAGCTCGTTTAGGGAGAGGCAGGTGTGGCTGAGCTAGAAAAAAAAGCTGGAGCAGAGCTGAGAGAACCATGATACCAGCGCAGCTCCTGTAGTTTTCTGCTCTAGCCACCCTCTTCAAACAAAATCCCTTCTCTACTTCCTCCCGTTTCTGCCTGCATGTCCTGTATAATCAGGGCGTATTTTGGGAGGGTCAGGACGGCGGAAGTAGCAGGAGAGGATATGAAGCACTTAGTGAGAGAAATGTGGAGAATTTTTTTTGACAACTGCTAGATTAAATGTGTGTGTTTAAATGTTAAAATTAAGTATTTAACATTGAATTTGCCAACAAGAAAACCTTTCCAACACAGATGGGATTGCATTTGTACTGTATTGTTCTGGAAAACTTCGATAGAGTGAAACTAGTTTGTAATGTGCTGTTGTGTATTCTAGTAAAAATACCTGTAATACCAATTCTAGATGCTCGTTTTTATCATTGTAGTCCCTTTAAAAATATTTCTTTCCATTAGCACCCGTACTAGAATTTGACTATCTCATCTGTGGAGACTGTGGCAAGGAATTCATGGACTCCTACCTTATGCAGCACTTTGATTGGGCAACATGTGATAATTGCAGGTATTACAAATAATCAGGAGAGGGAAGCACTATTTTACATAAAGATTGCTGGCTATAATTCAGTGAGTTACAGTCATTAAAGAGGCTGTCAGCAAAGAGACGTGTCAGTAACTTTTAAAAAATGGAAATGGAAGTTGACTGATTCCCTGTGTGTTTTCCGTTAYGGAATTGAATCACACATTGTCTCATAAGCGTGCCATAGGGTAGGGGACATCAGTGGATTTTCATAYGACATTATGGAAATAGGATGTCATGAGAGCAGTTGGTGTGTTTGTCAGTGTGAAAATTTMTGTCTGGCTGCAGACTAGAGCCATTTGAAAACCTGACGCTAGAACATGAATATCTACTCTCTGAAGTAGAGCAGGGATTAGGAGTGTTTGCAGTCCCGCTGTGTTAACCCGAGTGAAGTTGGTACTTTGGTCAGCATGGGCGTGCTGGAAGCACAGCAGCCAAAGGGCAGAGCCCCCATGGGAGGTTACTGGTTGGCCTGTGGGGTAAGCAGGAGTTCGACCTTGAGGGGAGAGCAAGCTCTTATCTTTAATACAGAAAATGCTCCAAAAGCCATCAAGATAACCAGGGCAATGAAACCARCTGTAGCAGTCGGCTGCCCATGTGTGTAAGAATGAATTGGGTAAATGAAAAAAAAATGGCAGGAGTTTGTTCGGGGAGCTTACCCATTTACTGCAGGGAGTGCTTAGGGTTGTGCACGTGGTGTAGGCAGTTCGCAGGCATATTGAAAGGCTCACTTTTGTTTCTGAAGTTAGAGCGGGCAGGAAAAGAACATAAAGGACAGTACTCGGAGCCTTTTGGAGTGCTTTTCCTTGGGTCTCACTCTTGCAGCTGGTTACTGGAGTGTCGTGGTAGTGTCGGTGTGTTAGCTGTTACTGTGAACTTTGAATTCTAGTACAGCTACATTTACAGCAGGACTTCCTTGATGACCGTTGTTAGCACTTAGTGTTTGGCAGATTGTTCAGCTCAAGCAATTCAAGTTGTACTTCAGTCAGGATTGCGTAAATGTAATTTTTCCCATTAACTCATAAATGCTGCTGTGGTTGCAGAGTTTTTCATTATCTGTCTGGCAAAAGCAGTCTCTTAAAAGTCTTGTGGTTCTTCTGCCTACTGTCTTGCATTATAGAAACAAGTGCTCTGTGTTGCTAATCAGTTTTTGAGATCTAGAGGCATATGGAGTGTGTATATTCTCAGGTGATCTGACCTGTCTCACATTACACATTCTTTCTGTCTTGACCATGTCAGGCTCATACTTCTGTCCTCTTGGGTTGCATCTGGGTTAGGTGAACATATGAAATTATTCGTACTTAAATTTTAAGTTTCAGTAATTCTCTGTTCTAAGAAAATAAGAAAAGCCTTTCTTGAAGAGCAGGCTTTTCAGCCTGTTTGCTAAGATGGGAGGAATTTTTAAACACTTAAATTTCAGTAAATGTAGTCTGAAGTTTAGCTAGACTGTTGGAATCCAAAATAATTTGCATGCCTTAAGAAACTGAGGGGGTTAGGGCTACCTGTATTTCAGGAATGTTAGAAGGGATGKGGACTTACATGTTAACCTGTGGTTTTAGGGTGTAGCTTTCTCATCATTGTTTTACATCTTGCAGAGATGTTGAAGATAAACATAAGCTTATAACAAGGACAGAAGCAAAAGAAGAGTATCTCCTTAAAGACTGTGACTTAGACAAGAGGGAACCAGTGCTCAGATTCATTGTGAAGAAAAACCCTCATAATTCACGATGGGGTGAAATGAARCTTTATTTAAAACTACAGGTATAGAAACTTGCTGTGTTTCAAATCTGTTTTTACCTGTGTACAGCTTTGCTTGTCACTTGGTACCTGAATGATTTTGTCAAAGTGTTACAATGCATAGCTTGTTACAGTGAAATGGTTGCAGTCCAAGTTGTGAAAATATCTGGTTTTGAGAGCATTTTAAAGTTTTTCATTGAGCAGAACTTTGTGGGTTACACAATTACAAGTCATAAAGCACGTGGCCCTTCAGTGCTAGTCTGAAGTGCARGGGGAAGCTGCTGCTCTATGTGGCCCTTTGTAGCTGTGTTCACAGCTTTGCCCACAGAGGCAGCAGGAAAGGCAAGTTTGCTACTTCATAGGAATTTCATTACTTTAGTAAAATACAAGCAAAATTAGAGCTGGGTGTAACTTTTCCCAAGTTACATCCAGRTGATACTGTAAAACAGTATTGCCCCTTCCTATGGAAGAACTGCAGTCTTTTGTGACTCTAGTGGAGACAGGTGGGAGGCAGAGGAAAATGGGTTGATGTATGTATATGTGTAGGGAAAAAGAAAATTGTGAGTTAGAATAGTTTACTTTTATCGTTTCAGGGAGAAAAAAAAAGGCATTTATGTCCATCCTTTAGGTAATCAAGCGTTCACTTGAAGTCTGGGGTAGCGAAGAAGCATTACAAGAGGCAAAGGAGCTCCGCCGCGATAGCAGAGAGAAAATGAAACAGAAGAAGTTTGATAAGAAAGTTAAAGGTAAAGTGAAATACAGTTCTGTTTGAATCTGTGTCTGCATCTGATTAAATTAYTGAAAATCTTAAGTGTGGCAAAATGGAGACTGGGTGAGCCTGGAGCAGTCTGGTCTTAACGTCATAGCTCACTGTTTTGGACAGTGTTGGACTGCAGGACTGAGRTCCCTTCCAAGTTGAATTCCCSTGTTGTCCTGTGAACATAGTGTGACAGAAATCARTTACAATGGTTCATTATAGTGTTTTTCAAATTTTTGGGTATGACCCAGAATGTGCCATGGATTGTTGTTGATACATTTGATTTGGATGTGGAAGACAGGGATTCTTGTGGTAGTATGTTACAATTCTGTGATAGCCTTCAGGTGGAGTGATTGTAAATGAAGGTAGAAAATGAGTTTTTCCATTGTTCACAGTATTTCTAGCTGCTGTCTTGTCTTCATATCACCCTTTGGGTTTTTTCCCTGATAAAATAGTATTTAGAACAGTAGTTGATGGATGAAACTTTCTGTGCCACCTGTAGCATCCATGCTTTGCTTTGGGGTGGCATTTGCAAGGGCAGAAAGCTCAAGCTGGYTGTACTGGTGTTGTCTGGAGGGGGCAGAACTTGAGCCTGCACAAATAACCCCTGTCTGGGCCATTGATGCTGTGTGCACAGAAGGATTGGCAGGAGCCTGTAGCCAAGACGCCAGAGTTCAGTGCAACTATAGGCCTTAATGTGACAAAGTTTGCAGCCTGAATGGCTTGGCTTAAAATGTGATCACATTTTGCTGTTCAGTATGCTTGCTTCCCACTTGCAACATCCAGATAATGTCTTGGGCTCTGCTGCCAGCTTGTGCGCTCTAGAGAACCCGCGGATTGCACTGCAGATGCTGCAGAGGCAACTCATATTATTGGGCATAAAGCTTAGAGAATGCCAAGTCATTTGGGAGGCTTACTGTGACCTGAATGAAAATGACTCTTTCTTGGTCATGTAAAATAAATGAGGTGTTCTATAAAAACTTTTCCTTTGCATTCCACCGACCCCTTTTGGATAGTTTTGAATGKTTTTTTGTAAAAAGGTAGCAAGGAACATGTCCTTAGTTCAGATGCAAAATCTTTGCCTGTGAGATCTCATGACAGTGTAGTTCTTGGCCTTTAAAATATGCAAACAAGGTAAGGATTGCAAGGCAAGTCAGAGCTTGTTCTTGCAAGAGCAGATTCTTTCCCAGAATTTGTAGAAGACAGGCAGCAAGCATACTGTCATCTRTAGGCCTCAGGAAGCTGGTTAGCTTGGGTTTTATTGAACATCARTTAAGATGTATTAAAATCTTAAAATGTTTTTGTGTGTGTTTCTTACCAGAACTCCGCCGTGCTGTGAGGAGTAGTCTGTGGAAGAAAGAAGCAAGTATCCACGAACATGAATATGGACCAGAAGAAAACATTGATGAAGATACATACAAAAAGACATGCACTGTATGTGGTCATGAATTAACTTACGAGAAGATGTAGTGTTAATCTCTTTTTTTTGTTTGTACTTTGTTTTTAATGGTATTTTGTATTAAAGTCAAATAAATGCTAATTATGAACAAGCTGTTGCCAGAGTCTATGAAGGTTTATATTTTTTGAGCTGYAGAAAGCTCTGCGAAAGAACAGTAAGCTCTGGCTTTTAAGCTAGATCTGGTAGAATATAACACATTTGGGACAATTCAACAGTTGGTATCTTTTGAGCCAAAAGATAAGTTTGTGTCACTGTCCTTGATGTGCTGATCAAATGAAGGTGAACTTCCCATTGCTTTTCTGCTTCCATAAGGAGGAAGGCTCTATATTTTGTCCTGACTGGTTTTCAGTTGTTTGGTTTTCAGTTACTGGTCATGGGCAGGCAGAGGGCAACAAGCTGATGTAGCAGCATTTCTGGCAGTTGGAGGCCGTATCATGAGGCAAGGTTTCTCCTTTGGCTTGGATACACAACTCTAAAGGAGAGTTCTCTCTTGAAAGCTACCTGCTCCTTGGAAGGTTCTGATACATCTCAACTGTGTTTTGCAGRACAGTGTCCTTACATGTATTCTCTAAATATTTTTGTATTTTTTTCCCAACTTACACACCAGAAATCAAGGCAAGGGTCAAGACCTGTCCTTGTGGACAAGAGGGAGGTAGCATTCCATGGCAGAGCTCTTACAATGCACATGAGGGGTTTGCTTTCAGTGGAGAGTGGTTTTGTTTCCAAATTCCAAATTCTTGTTCTTGCAGCTGTTGGGGAATGCATTTGGAAATTGCTGAAGTGAAGGAACATGCTCTAGGGAAGTGGCTTTGCATTTATATGGCAGATTTCAGGGAAGTCTCTGAAGACTTTGGCGAGCTTGGGCCATTATGGCTGTGCAGAACTGCAGTGTTCAGCAGGAAAGCTATGATGTGTTTGCCATCACAGAAATGTGGTTGGGATGACTTCCATGAYGAGTTGTAACCAATGAGGGTTACAAGCTCTTCAAGAGGGGCAGGTGGGAAGCAGGGGATGTGGGATGGCTCTGTGCATTAGAAAGGGTTTCCCTGTGCATCAGGGACAGTAAGGGTGAGGATTAGGGGGAGGCCAGCAAGGCAGAGATCCCAGGGGGAGTCTGTTACAGACCACTCAGCCAGGATCAAGGGGCAGATGAAGTGTTCTATAGGAAGCTGGCTGGTGTTTCAAAGTCACTAGCCATTGTTCTTCTGGGAGACTTTTAACTTGAGGGATGTGTGCTAAAAATACAGTGGAGTCAGTCTAGGAGGTTCCTGGAGTGTGTGTAAGAGAGCTGTCAGCTGGCAATAGAGTTGTCCTGCTTTTGGCCAGGACAGTTATTYTTTGCAATAGCCAGGACGGGCATGACCCAGACTTGGAGGTTACCTTATACCACCTCACACCATACACAGGGGGTGCGTGGAAAGGGGTGCTTTCCAGTAAGGGTAGCATTGGATTTCACAGAGTGGGCATTTGCGTTTCAATTGTCTTTCTTGCACGCTGTTCTTGATACTGTTTGTTTCTTACCTCATTGCTGTTAGCAGTAAATTGTTCCTATTTCAACCCTTGATCTTTTGTGCCTCCAGTTCTCCTCCCCATCCTGCTGGGGGKAGTCAGCAAGTTGTGCATGGTTTGGAGTGTTTCAKTGGGAAAACTAAATTAGGGAACACCATTCCTAAAATACAATATGAGCATATTGGGGTGGTGTCCTGGTAGATCTGTTAATGAACAGAGAAAGGCTGGTGGGAGATGTGGTGGTTGGAGGCTGTCTTGGGCACAGCACCCATTAAATGGAAGAGTTTTCAATTCTTGGTAAGGAATGGGGTCAGCAAAACCTCTGCATTGGGTTTCTGRAGGATAGATCTTGGCCTATTCAGGACACTGATTGAGAGTCCCTGGGGAAACAGTCCTTAATAACAAARGGGTCCCATGAAGACTGGYCATGCTTTAAGGAGGAAATCTTGAAAAGCAGTGGAGTAGACTGTCCCTATGTGCTGGAAGATGAGCCATTGTGAAAGACCATCCTGGTCTTCCTGTTTATCCTGGCTGGACAGGATGCTCTTGCTGTAACTCAGGGAAGAGGATATCACCTTTGAAAGAAGGGGCAGACACTCAAGAAGAGTACAAGGATGATGGTAGGTCATGTAGAGAGAAAATCAGAAAGATGAAAGCTTGCTGGAACTCAATATGACCACTACTGTAAAATATAATAAGTGTTTTTGTAAACACACGAACAACAAAAAGAGGGTCAAGGAGAATTTCCATCGGTTACTGGATGCACGGGGGTACATCAAGGATGAGGAAAAGGGTGAGGTACTTAATACCTTCTTTTTCTCAGTCTTTAACAGAAAAAACAGTTACCCTTGGGGCAACCAGAYGCTGAGCTGTTACACAGGGACAGAGACCAGCACACACCTCCTGTAATCCAGAAGGAAGTTGTGCCATTAGACCCAAGTCCTTGGGATGGGATGGCATTCACCTAAGGGCACTGAGRGAGCCAGTGGAAGAGCTTCCTAAACGGCTCTGCATCATATTTCATAAGTCCTGGATAACGAGTTGGTTTGGGATGACTGGGCTGACCAATGTGACACCTATCCACAGGAAGGGTCAGAAAGAGGATCCAGGGAACTACAGGCTGGTCAGCCTCTGTGCTSGGGTGGAACAGACCATCCTGAGTGTGATCACACAGCACATGCAGGAAAACCAGGGGATTGGGCCTAGCCAACACGGGTTTGGGAAAGGCAGGACTCCCCATACCAACCTCCTTTTATGACCAGGTGACCTGCCTGGTAGGTGAGGGAAAGGCTGTGGATGTTGTCTCCTTGGACTTGAGTAAAGCCTTTGGCATGGACAAACGCACTTTTTGCTGGGTTAAAAACTGTCTGCACAGCCAGGCCTAGAAAGTGGAGGTGAACGGTGTCAYCCACCTGGGGACTGGTCACTAGTGGGGTTCCCTAGGGATCTGTGTTGGGGCTGGTCTTGTTCAATACCTTTACTGAGGATCTGGATGAGACTAACTGTGCTCTCAGTAAATTGATGACACCAAGCTGCATGAGTGCTGATGTGCTGGAGAGCAGGAAGRCTCTGCAGAGGGATCTGGACAGGCTGGATTGATAGGCCAAGGCCAAAGGTGTGAGGTTCAATAAGGCCAAGTGTCAGGTCCTGCCCTTGGGTCACAACAACCCCTGCAGGCTGGGGCAGTGGCTGGAAAGAGGCCCAGTAGAAAAGAGCCTAGGGGTGCTGGTCAGCATCCAGCTGGGAGTGCGCCCAGGTGGCCAAGGCAGCCAATGGTATCCTGGCCTGTRTCAGCAAYAGTGGGCCAAGCCTCCAGCACCAGGGCAGTGATTGTCGCCCTGCACTCAGCACTATGAGGCCACATCTCGAGTTCTGGCCCCCTCAATTCAGAAATAAGACTGAGGTGCTGGAGTGTGCTCAGAGATGATCAATGACCTGGTGAAGAGCCTGGGAACAGTTGAGGGAACGAGGCTTGTTCAGCCTGGAGAAAAGGAGGCTCAGGSGTGGGTCACCTTATCATTCTCTACAACTGCCTGAAAGGAGGCTGTAGCCAGGTGAGGGGTATTTTCTCCCAGGCAACCAGTGACAGAACAAGAGGACATGGGGCCTTAAGCTGCACCAGGGAGGGCTCAATTCGGACATCGGGAAGACTTCTTTACAGAAAATGTGACTGGATATTGGAATGGACTGTGCAGGGAGGTGGTGGAGTCACAATGCCTGGAGGTATTCAAGGAAAGACTGGACAAGGCATTTGGTGCCACAGTCTAGTTGACACATGCGCAGCCATAGGTTGGATTCAATGACCTCAGACGTCTTTTCCAACTGCATTGACTCTGATTTTGTTAAGAGCCTGGGARAGGCAGATGATGTCTCCAATAGTAGGTCTTCACTTTCCCAATGCTTTCACACCTGCAGCTCTGCAGTAAAGTGCCTGCCCACYATGCAAAGGATTTTCCTTGTGAGACCTAGGAAAGTGGCATGGGGGCTTGGCTAGGGGAGGGAGGCAGGTCCTGGCAGGCAGTCCTTTTGGAGGACTCCATGTCATGGTTTCATCACCCAGAGTTGCCTTGGGCCCCTGAACTCCTGTCTGGGGCAGCTGGGAGGTGTGCACTGACTACCGCCCTGCTGTGGGCATGCTGCATCATCCCCTCCACCCTGCAGCAAACACCCGCTCACACCCTGCTGATCTCCCGCAGCAGCACCTCCCCTTCCCCGCCGGCAGCAGCACCTCCCCTTCCCCGACGACGGGAGGTGGCAAAGGAGAAGAATTTCTACATCAGCACCTCCTTATACCTAGCAGCGCATAGGCTTGCCTCACATGGCTGCAGGTGGGGGAGCGTGTTAGACCAGCCGGAGCGCAAGGAGGTGAAGGCTTGTGTGTTAGTCACGGCACCAGCACGACTGCTGGGCAACAAAACTGCTTCAAACCCCTTTGCACTTAACACCAGCATAACTGCTGTGCTTCAGTGTCACCCAAAAGAGATTGGAAAAACACTCTCAGCAGCATACTGCTTCACCTTCATTTATTTTTAAGTGTGCATTTTTTTCCAACCACACCACATTTCTACAGCATCTTTACACTATCCACCACTTCATGCTTCAGCAGTTCCAAGTTTCCCCAGTTAGATGCTGGTATCATTATGCAAGTGTTTCACTCTTTCCTACCAGATCCAGACAGTTTCCCAATCAAGTCAGGTGTACACCATTAGACCTAAAAGAAGGTGAAGGTGTCCAACAGACTCAAAAAATGCAATCAAAGCCCATGCTCAAAGCTTGGCATGATTGGAAATTAAATCAATTTTGAATGACATTGCTATTTGGTTTTAAAACACAGGATTACACTCAAGCATTTGCAACTGTATCCCCAGCATCAGAATTCATCAAGGCTCAAAGAAAGTTACAGGTATGCAAGTTCTAACTGCATTACCAGTTTTACAGAAGTCACATTTATAGTCAGAACCCTCACCATTAGTTAATATCGCAACTGATACTGACCCAAGCCAGTGAAAAAACTATTAAACTCCAATTAAAACCTTTAAAGTATTAAATGTTTCCTAAAAAAAAACAAAACAAGAAATCCTATTTGATTACTCAAGAACA